TTTAAAAAATAGATAAAAGCCATACTTTTCAACCGAAGTCAACTTTTACTTTATGTAGCGTGGCGCCGTGTTTGTTTTGTTTTGTTTTGAAGCAAACTGCATGTGACCGTTTGTTCTTTAAACTAAACTGCTTTAATTGCCTCAATTTCCACTATAATTTTGTCAAATTATCTGCAGTAGTTTTAGAATATATATCATCTGGACTCCTTGATAGATCATCTTTATCAGAATTAATCCAGAGTATACTTTCGGGTACGTACGATATATTCATGTCATGGTCAGCTATTCCCTTCGCTGTGTCTCGGAAACGTCTGTTTGTCTCGTCATAACGTGAAAACCATCTTACTGCATATATTAATATACATAAAAATATTACTCGACTGTGATTGCCTGATTGGTTGATTTCATTGCAGTTAATCTCCAACAGCAGTCCAATTTTCTGTAATCACAGTGCAATTTTTTGTAATCACAGTACTATTTTCTGTAATCACAGTGTAAAATATGTAACAAACAAATCTGATTGGTGGAAAAACAAGGTGATGATAAAATCAATCAGTTAAGAGGAACAAGAAGAACGCAAAATTGATGATATTGCTTTATATAGATGTATGCAAATTAAAGGGGTCGCAAAACTTAAACTAAGATCACGCGAACATAATTGTCTTAATTATCAAAGCTAAATGCAGATAATGCTTCCTTGAACCAAATTAAACCTGATTAAGGGACTGGTCATAAAGTATTTACTTGGGGGTGCGGAGGATATTTTTGGGAAGTACGAAAAAAAAGAGGGAGAACCTCTGAGGGGGGTAAGAAAAAAACCCCAGAACTTCTAGGGGGGTACCAAAATCTTAGTACTATAGGTACGGAAAAAAATTACATTTTATAACTATTGTTGAATATTGAATGTATTTGTGCCCAGATTTAAGTTTGGAAAGAATTGCTTTACTATAATTATTAAATCAACACAAGGTATATGTTTTAGTCTGACTCATTGGCATATGATAAATAGGATTCAGTATCCGTTGAACTTTTGGAGTACAAATCTGATACACCTGAATTGCCAATGCTAGTAAACTCACACCGGCATTAGAACTTGATGAACCTGATGAGGAAGTGTCACATTGAATGGAAGCGAATGTTTTCTAATTGAAATAAACCCAAAACAAATTTTTCTGCTTGATCTTACCCTCAGCCCATCGCTAGTATGTCAGAAAAGACAGGTGACGAATCGGGACTGCGGAAAATGTTGAGGATATGGTTACCACTACAAGAAGTGGGAGAGTTATCACAAACTGGAGAGTTTCGAATGAAACTCCGATCATCTGGAGAGTTTCGAATGATCTCCGATCATTCGTAACAGTTCGTCTGTTTCATCCTTTAAGCTCCAGCTCCATTCTCACTACTCTTCTCAATTAGACTCTTCTTTCGATGTTAACAGAATGCGCACTTGGAAAACCTACTGCTCTAAATGCCGTTCTTTCAACTTGAGCTGTTGCTCATAATCTAAACTATTAACTTTTACGTAGTTATGTAAGTAGTGTTTTAGTCCTTGTCTTTAATGTATGTCTACTTATTGTATTGTTACTTTTGTATTAGGTTGGTCTTCACATGGAGCTCATGTCCTGTTGACCATATACCTTCAATCATTGTTATAATTTTTGTATGATTGTAAAGTTAATAAATAAATAAATAATAAATAAACGCAAGACAAATGTTAAAACAGAATTAATGATAGAACGGGGGGGGGTATGAAAATTTTCACTTACATTGAAGGGGGTTACAATATGTTTCCATAGGTTTTTGGGAGGGTATGGAAATATGTACTTGAAATTTCATTTATCCTCCACCCCCCTCTAGTAATTACCTTATGACCGGTCCCTAAAGAAGAAAAATATGGTTTGGTAAATGCATTAAAATTTCTGCAAAATAATTTACGCAATGTGCCTGCAGAGAAAGAGTAGAAACTCTCAGCTACAAATCCTAACTTAGCCTCGAAGGTTTGGGAATCCAATTTTAATGCTGTACTAGGAAGACATATTAGGCAATCCTGCGTTTCATGGCTGAATTCGAACAAGAAACAGATTATGAGCAATCGTGATCATCATAAAAATATCTGTTAAAATGTCTCTGGACGACATTGCAGACTTGAGTTGATCGAGCCCATAGGAATAGAGTCAATGTAGTGAAATGCGGAAAAGTGAACAGTTATATACATTATATACTAAATGCTGGTCAACCCAAAGGCGCAATAAAGCTTATGTTTTCATTTTGGGTGGGATTATAGAACCCACTAGGAGAGACTGAATGGCATCTAAATTTGAATTCCCCAAAACAGCCCTGCCAGAATGGTATATAGCACCCCTCTGACATACACCTAAACCAGAGGGTGTACTCCCCTTGGACAGTATACCTACGATTTGACTGCAGATTCTGTTTACATTGAATAAGCTGAATCTATGGGGCGTTGACCATTGCATGGCTTCTGCCACAATTGAGTGGGAGGGTCCAAATACTGAAGAGAGATTGTAATTATATATAGACAGATTATTGATTTAGCCAAAACGAAGTAAGTTAAGGATATAATAGTGAACTGTGATGTGAATTTTAATTCCACGAAAATACTTCAATAATATGGTTTCGAGTGCAATTTAGAAAAACAGGCAGGAGTGAGTTTTTCAAAGACGATCAAAATTGCACGAGTCCGATTTATTAGGACGAGTGCAAGTCGGAGTCTTTGAAAAACGCACAAGAAACCACATTACTACCACCTGTTCTTGCACAGTACTCGTTGTGAAGTGGAAAGGCGGAAGGTTAATGGAGAGTGGCCTATTAATTAAATTGGTTCCTCTATTTAAAAAATAGACAAGATTTTGCCGTTGTCTGTCCAATTATAGATACACAGTACGAAGTCATAGTGTGGGAAGAACAAAAACGTGGCTCATGAGCCGTCTAAACCCGAAGTAAAGGGCTAATTTATCCACCCAAATATTTGGAAATTCCAAAAAGTCGAAATTTTACAAATATCACGTGTACATGATCCAATGCTATCGGATAAGGTTTTGTGTCACGTAATTCCGTGCGTCTGTCCTCTAATAGATCATGGCTCTCGACCAATGAAAAGGGTTGGATTCTTAACGTTATGATATAATAAATAAATATTAATAACTTACTGACCGAGAGTGAGGGCAGTATGGGAAAATATCCATATTTGAAATTTCCCCTACTGCCCGAACGGTTGAGGTCAGTAAGTTTTTTCATTATATGGCATTGTACGTTTGCAAAAATGGGAAAAAGGTCACGCGAGGTCAAAGACAAAGTACAAAGTCCGAAACAGTGCAAATATTGAAAAAAAAAACTATTGTAAAAAATGTTATCTTGGTTAGTAAAACACTCTACAGCACTTTTTATATAGAATACTGACACAGTTTGGATACTGTATTTCAAGAAAAGTACAGTACGAGGTATTTTGTCATTTAATCAAAGAAAAACAAATATGAAAACAATAAAATTAAAAAACAGTATGGAAAAATACGCTTTTAGTTCGCTTCATCTCATGTTTATCTCTCTTTTATCTAAAAAAAGCAGAAAGGGAAAGGGAAAATTATAAATCTGTGGCTGCTTTAGTTGTATAGTTTTATTTAGGATGGTGTCAAATTTCTCCTGGCTATCTGCAAATAAAATTTGCAGCTCTTCACTTTGCAGTCACTCCTTTTCCTTATTAATTTTAGGTCATGTTATTTTTCTTCGTTTTGAATAGTTTGAAAGACTTTTAGACTCTTTTTGCCGTTTGAAGCTCGGCTCTCGTCGTAGGGCAATAAAAATTGCTTATTGCCCGTGGGCAATACGGGAAATCCTACCTCGTCAGCAACCAATCAAATTGCGCGATTCATCAAAACAAATGCATGCCATATAAAAATAAATGTAATATTACTCTATTCTAAATTAAAAACTCACTCGTGCATACTATTTCGAATTGCACTCGAAGCCATAATACTATATTACCTATACAAATTGATAATCAAGTAAACACGTAAGTTACTTTGGCAACGGATGTAGCTTCGCCTTCAACGGCAAACGTCAAACTTTAGGCAAAGAAAAATTTTACACTATAAAGCAATAAAAAGTAAATGGGCTTGTTGCTTTATAACTAGAATGCTTAACTATTCCTGTGCCATATGAAAGGAAATATGACACGCAGAAATCGAACGAAAATTATGCCAAGAAAAGTGGGCCTTGCCGTTTGCCGTTGCCGCAAAGTGAACCTTAAACTTCCTATTAGCAAAATGACTGTCGTTAGAAGTGTTAAGTCAATTAATTATAATAGTCACTCAATCGATTCTGTTTAATTTGTAGTATTTTGATCTGTTAATTCAAATGTATCCGCACATATCATAGAAATAATTATATAACACATTGAAATAATTTAAAAGTCTGACTATGAAATCAATACACGAAGTATTGACCAGTACATGCAGCACCCTGACCCTGTTAGAATTTGTCTGACTAGTATGGTATTTTTATCTGTTCCTTAGGATCAAGTTTTTCAGTGAGGTTGTGAAACAATGCTAGTGATGTATAATCGTGCAAATCAAACAGAGTCAAGTACATGGACAGAGAGTGATTTGATAAAATTGAATGCCTTTCTGGACCAGCTTGAGTTAGCAAGGGAAATTATATTAATTATTTTCATCATTTGTACAATTATTGGCAACACTTTGGTTTTGGTGGCGACCTGGAGAGAGGCAAGTCTTCATCAACCAAATAAATATTTTGTTGCTTGTCTGGCTGTCGCTGATCTTTTGGTTGGCATGATTTTAGAACCATTTATGGTGTATGAACTCAGTCTGGATGATGAATCGCGACGTAACATCTCTATTTATCTATGTCGTTTTTCGGCGTGGATAGATACCTTCGCGTTATCATCATCTATTTGTACACTGACATTCATCAGTTTTGACCGATATCTCAAGGTTAGGAAGCCACTTCAATATAGATCCAGAATGACAACTTCCAAATCATTGAAAATCATCTTTATCATTTGGTTCATTTCAACTGCCTTTGCCACCTACTCCGCCACTCCTCATTTAGGAAGCAGCAGCGGACTAGGCTGCATCACAGCTGATTTTGATAAACGGAAAGGATACACTACTTTTCTTGTAGTAAGTTTAATTTTTCTAGCCACCACAGTCATACTGGTTATGTACGCTCTCATTTTTGTCGTCGTTCATAAACGACAAAAGATGCTGAGAAATGGTGAATTGGGTCAAACCTGCAATGATCAGAACCAACGAAGTGCCTTTCGTCAAGATCTGAAGGTTATTCGAATGCTGTTGGTTGTCGTGGGTGTGTTTATACTTTGTTGGGGTCCTTCCTTTATTTATGCGTTGCTTGTCTTCTACTATCCAAATTTTATCGATTACAATAGCACGTCATTCAGCTACTGGCGTCGGATTCTCATAGCCACATTACTAATAAACAGGCTTCCATATTTCAACAGTCTGTGCAATCCAATAATTTATGCCTGTCTGGACCAAACATACAGAGCGGCTTTCAAAAATCTGTTTAAACGAACGATGTGGCGACCAAGCCCAAGAAGACGACAACCACCAGATGCAATAGAGTTACGCCCACTGAGAACAAGATAAAGCAACATTTCATTAATATTTTATGAATACTTTATGCTCTATTTAAAAAACGAGCATGCAGGAGTGTTTTATTAGGTTTAAATTAAAGCCACGAGCGCGCAGCGCGAGTGGCTTTAGACCTAATAAAACACGACCTGCGAGTTTTTTAAATGGCTTCAAAAACGTTTGCATAATAAGTCAAATCTGAATATTAATTGTAATAAAACAATAGATACGTTCAGGTAATAGATTTCAGATATGAAAAATCTTTATATAAAATCTTTATATAAAAATCTTTATATAAAAATCTTTATATAAAAATCTTTATATAGTTTGCATAACAATCGTCTTTTGTATTATTGCATAATAAAGTGTTCTTTAGCTGGTATAAAGACGTATGCACGTGACTAATTTCTTACTCAAGATTGGATTATTGCTTCATGAATTATTAATGAGTTTTTGAATTTCGTTTCATAAATACTTACGTCCTTACTGTAAAGGAAAAATGTGTTCATAAAAGGCTGCGCTCGTGGATGGTGTAACAAACTTAACTCAGATGAATTCAAGTCTATTCTGCGCATGTGCAATATGAGGACCTAGCTCTGGTGTAAACAATACCCAAAATCGCGTAGTTTCGGCGTCTTCTAAATTGAAACTCAAATCAAAATTAATTTAAAAGCATACCAAACCAGAACGATGTTAGATATTAACTAAGTGCACTGTATTTTATGAATATAGTGTCTCCAAAATATAAACAAACTGGACAACCGCTGAACGGACTTGACCGACTCTTTAATAAGACTCAAAAAACTTTGACCGCCTGTTTTTAGAGCCAAGCCGTCTCGTCCTATAGGTCTGTTGCTACATATGATCTTTACGTTTTGGGCGCAGAAATCCTAACATCAATACAGATATAACCAAATAAACACACGCAAGCAATCATCTTCGGCCTAACCGGTAGAGTGTTGAAAACCTCATCTTCAACGCCATCACCTTTTTAAGGTAAAGTCTTGTGGTGCAACAGTTAATTAGATGTAACCTTAATATGAACAGATTATGTACATAAGGAGATAATATATATATATATATATATATATATATATATATATATATATATATATATATATATATATATATATATATATATATATATATATATTATATATTTAAGTACTGATCTGTACTATATTTAGTCATCAGCTGCTTTGTGTACGGGCAACATGTTTATAAAGCAATAGTTTTACAACTCGTATGTTTTGCCCTAAAATGAAAATGTAGAAAATGCGATGATTCTGCAAAAACTCCAGCGTGAACTGCAAGCATTTAACTATGCATGAAGATATGAGGAACTTTGTCCTTTACTGCTGCAGAGTGGACACCCCTGCTTGAAATTATATAATCTTAAGTTAAACATGACATACGCGCCTTTTTCACGTGTCAGCCATGTTACAATTAAAAAGAGGCCAAAAACGCACGAACAGCAAAATAGCGAAGGCAATAAAAAAGTAAATTAATTATACACACTGCTTCGCCATTTCGCGTTCTTCGTCGCGTTATTTGCCTCCCTCGGTTTTCATTCCAACATGGCGGACACGCGAGAAAAACCTATCGTTGATTTGTATATAAAGTTAATTATTAATGACTGCGTATAGATCGACACGCGAGAAAAGTTGTATGGTTGCGTAAAATAGCTATACAGACATGTCCGAATTAGTGTTTGCGCAAGATTTCTTTTGCGGAATTTTAAAGGCTTTTTTCTTTGCTTTCCTCTTTGTTCAACCATGGATAATAAAATAAATGGATAGGAAACTAGCTGACGTGACCTAATGTTTTCAATGGGCTGATGGCGTGATTGGATGTTGAAACCAATTTGCAAACCAAATTATCAAGAACGGCATGTTTAGCATGCAATAATACAGCTAAACATTTTAGTCAAAGAGCAAATAAATATAACTACGCCATTCTACGATGAAATCTCTAAATATTCCCAGTCAATTTTAGCAAATATTTTAAGCACTAAACAGTGAAAAATTCTTCGCAAATTTCGTTAAAATAAATTGGCGACGCCAACTTCGTAGCTACAAATGTAAAAAAATACAATACAAAGACGAAAAACATTTACCTTGAATACTTTGTCATGGCATAGGCATGTTTTTAAAACTGACAATTAGACCAGTTTATGCTTCAATATTACTCTTTTAAAGCGGAAAATATAGCGAAACAACAAAAATGCTGAGAACTTTAGCAATACGCGTGACGTCACAGATTGCAACTAGGTTTAGACTGTGACGTCACGAAGTTTCCTATCCAGTTATTTTACAATCCATGGTTCAACAGAGAATTTGGATAAAATTTTAGCCGGTGTAACGAAAAGTTATTTAATTTAATGAAAGTGAAAACATTTTGGAACACTGTTAAATATAACTTAGATAATCCCAAAGCCATTCCAGGCCTAAGTCCGGGGTGAGGGTATTAATTCCGCACGGCTATTCACACCCAAATCAAATGTGGTTTCAAATGTGGGGTGGTTGGTGATCAGCTCACTGATCTCAAAATATGGCGGATTGCCAGGAGTGGAATGAACGGCCATAATTTCAGATGAAAAGAATCAAAACATCTGGAAAATATTTTATTTAAAATATAATATAATATAATATAAAAATAATAGGAAAGTGCGTAAATATATAATAGACCATAACAATTATGTGAGGTTTCTTCTTTGTGCCAATAATTATACTTATTTAAATTTGATCGAAGAAAACATTTTTCCATTGTTGATTTAAGTATACTGGAAGAGATATAATTTGCCTATATTGCGTCGGTATATTAAAATGAATGACAGAACGACCGGGGCCATGCCACTGATCTAATAGTAGACTGGATATAGGGGGGGGGGGGGGGGGGGGGGGGGTA